TCTAGATACTCCTGTCATCCTCATGAACCTTCAGTATACTTCCAGAAAATTCATTGAGAATCTTCTAAGCTCCGTGTATTCCGAGATCCTTCTCGAAGATTCCCTTGGTGTCATTGCCTGCGCTAGCCAGAGTAGGCTACAGGAATCCTTAGGCTTAGCAGCCGTTACACCGGGGCCTTGTTGCTTGGAAGCTTTCGGGAATTTCTTCGACCTCTGCCTGGTTAATGATATTAGAAATACCCTCCGGCTTTCTAGGGTAGATAGTTCCCGCAATACCTACTGTATCTGCAGCCACAGGCTGTGGAAAAAAATGCGCTGCCATAGCTCTTGCCATGTCGGGGGGGTCGGTATGAATGATTCCCGCTGCGTCTTTTATCTCCAAAATTTGGGGTAGCCTCTGTATTTCCTCTGAATACTTTCTTGCCAACTTAGCAAATTTCCGTACCTTTGTAAGGTCCCGGGAAGCCTCGGATACTGCTGCCATTCATCCAATTGTATTTGCTTTTCTTGTTTGGTTTTTTTTAAACTTATGGCTTTTTGGTATTCTATCCAGCTTTTCTAAGTTCCTCGATTTTTCCAATCTCTTCTGGCCTTTCGTGTGTCTTTTATCGCTTCCAAGCAATAGGTTGTCCAGTAGGGCTTGGCAATATGTTACGGCGTGAGCTAAGGATACTGGAGATCGCCGTCTGCCGAAGGTATTGTATTATTAACTTTTAGGATTATAGCTACTAGCGGAGGATACTCAGATATAATTCAAGTGGCGAGGTGCCAGGTGGTCAAAGACCGGAGAACTACAGGATATTCGAGAGACACGAAGTCAAGAAGTCGAGTTGCTGAGGAAGCGATCAAGTCTGATTACTTAGGGTCAATAGAAGTACAAATAATGTAACGAATAATGAAATACTGAGATTATCGGACTGTGAGAATATAAGATTATAATATTATGTAAATGCTAGATTGCGAGATCAAAGATCAAAAGAACAAATGATTGAGAAGCTGGAGAGCTACTATGTCGCAGCTCTAGCTTCCTTAAGTCTAACTCGAGACAGTACTAGAACTCAACTACGGCTATAGTAGATGTGGTTATGACGCTAGCCCATCCATCTCTAACTGTCAGAGTTTTCTCGGAAACCTTATCCCTTCACCTTTCCCCTAGAACCTTCTCCTTGAAACCTCTTCAATGATGCCTGGCCGTAACACAATAGGATAACTTCTCTAGTTATCTTCTGGCTACCGTCGGTGATGGAGGCTACCCTCTAGTCGATGGTTTGTCGGGAGTTAAGATCCAAGACCTCTGTCCTTAACCCACTTAGCTGGACTGCCAATCTTTCATTAACTTTTCCCCAGTCTGCATTTTTCCGTTGGAAACGTGGTTCTAGTATTCCATTTACTTGTGACTGGATTGAAATTTGCGTCGATATAGGAATGTGGTCGGAGAATGCTTCAAGATTGCTGTCTGGTTGACAAGTTATGACTTCCTCTTGAAGCTCTTTCGATAGGAAGACGAGATCAAGCGTACTCTAGCTTCCCCTATTATTCCAGGTGATGGTCCCCTCCGAAAGAACTAACTCCATATTGTTATCTCCCAGTATTTCTATCAAGTCTTCAGCGAGCTTATGATGACTTAGAACTGATTTCCCCCATTTAGGGTGATGTAGATTGAAGTCTCCCACAAGGATATGCTGGCATTTTTTACAGACAAGTTCTGGGAGATATTTCAGGGTCCCTAGTTATGTGCTACTATGTGATACGGGAGGAGGGTTGTATACATAAGTAACGTATATTTTGCCTTTATTGGTCTACATGCTGATGGAAGTTACATATCCATCCGCCTCTACTCGGGTTTTTTCCTTTCTCCATTTCGTGGCTGCGAGGTGTTTACTTAAATATACATATCCTACCTTTGCGGCCATCTGGGGATATCAGATGGTAGTCTGGGTGTTTAATTGTGGTATTCTCTGTTGGATGACGCCATGGCCCTTGTAGAGCCACTACATGGTGCTATGGTGAGTCTAGGACTTGCAGGATGAGGTGTTACACTATATTTTTGCTTTTATTGACGTTATACTGTGTTATGTTTAATATATTTGCACCTTTCATTGATCCATTATACAGTCCTGGGTGTATTTTTGGTGAACGACGTTAGCGCACCGGATGGGGAAACTAATCTTACCAAGATTCCTCAGATATCGGGGGCCAGGAGTCTTGCATGACCTTCCAGGATCTCGGAGGGTGCTAGTTATACCAACTAGACTGATTATTTCCACAACTAATGTAGCTGCTCGTCTTTTCTGGAGCCTACCAATTTCCACCCATCTTGTAGGTCTATTTGTGATTCCGCTACCTGTTGATATCTCCCCGGATCACAAGTCCTATTTATTTCGGCCTTAGATTTTGCCGCTAGTTTAGTTGGACAGCTTTGGTCCCATGCTGGATGCTTTCTCCTACAACTACAGCATCTAGCATCCTATTGACCATGGCATTCTCGGGTATTGTGTCCTCCAGCACATCTGCCACACTTGGATTCAGCTGTGCAGGTCTTAGCAGTATGGCCGAACCTCTGACAGTTAAAGCACTGCATTTCCCGGAATCCTGAACGGAATATCTCCGTGGCTTTGACTTCATATTGTCAGACCATAACTTTAGCAATAGCTTTATCCGCATGATCTGCTTGTGAAAACCATAATATCAACGATCCTGCAGTTTTTCCTAGTTGATTTGATTTCTTGAGCCATGTGGCTTTTTGTATCTTGACCCCCTCAATATATGTTTCATTTGCCCCTTGTAGTGCTGCGATATGTCCGGGGTTCTCTGGCTTGAATGATAGTAGCATTCTGTGGATCAGTGCCTGTTAAGTGGGACTCGCTATATGAGCTATATTTGCCAGCTTTTGTGTCTAGTCTCGATATTTTTCCATTCTATCTTTTATTGCCTGTTTCTTATAAAAGGCTTTTACCTGCCCGTTCCTTATCTTTCTGGCCCCTGTAACTTCTCTGGCTCTAATTTTCTTCACCAAACTTTTTACTTGTTAGCTTGGCTACATTTTCTCTCTCATTTTCATCTGTTATCTTATCCTTGGGCCAGCCATCTCAGACTGGCTAGCTATCCTCGCCCATTATTGCTCATGTCCCCGGGTGGACTTTTAGCTGATTGTAATAGCTGGTTTGATGATCTTTATTTCCTACGGGATTTTAGTCATTGTAGTGGTAACTTCTGCATGCGAAGCCTTTGGAATAATTGGAGACACTTTTGGTTTCCGGAGGCTTTCAATTTCTGGAATGGCCTCCGCTAATAGTTTCATACATACTCTAGGAGCGAGGTTGTCTTCTTTAATCGCTTGTCTGAACCTCTTGAGGGCTGAGTCTGTGTCTTGGGGCAATTGCGACCTGTTAATTTATCCTTTGTTGCCAGGAAGAGGCCTCCGATCATTAGAACTTTGCGAGGAACTACTTTCCATCATGCCTGTAACAAGGCTGAAATTTTATAAGTCAAAAGTCGATGGGGTCGATTTTTCGAAATGTGTCGAAGAATATACTCTGCATGATATTATATGGATATATATGATGAAGTAAAGAAGACTTGATATTTTATAACCATGCGAACATTTGACTTATATATACATCTAAGGGAGAAATTACCACTAGTCTCTTTTTGATTTTTGCGTCAGATTTTAATTGCGTATGCAGCTTTCTAGCTATGACAAAATATCGGAGAAAAGGTACGCAATAGATGACTCAATTCAAAGTAGAGCACTCATGCCTCGGATTTTATTTGCAAGTACCACTACGAAGTTATGACAGCTTTTTTTCCACCCACAGTCAGCCCTTACCCATGAAAATCCAGGTAGGGAAACGTCTCAAAAACTCAGAGTTATCCAGACATGTCTACATCCTGCATCTTTTTTTCCTCCGTGCGAAATGTGATCTGAGATGTCTCCTTCCCAAGTGGAGTTCGCAAATAACTGTCTAGCCAGAACACATGATCGGCTCTATTTTTACATAAAGAATGACTCTTTTGACGCTGGAGAGGCTCTTACTGTGAATTAGATTCGCAAAGACTACTTTAAGCTCCTCTCTGGCCCAGGCCACGCCTTATACAGTACTCATGATATATTTTGTTCCTGGAGTAGTCATTGATATATTGCCCATGATGAACAGCCATTCAGCTCAGTGTTTACCCGTGGAATTCAGCCACCTTTTCAACGGAACCTTCTACCCAAAAAAAAAGGGTGGCAATGGAAACTGCGTGCGCGGGAAAAAGTCTCAGAAAACCTGCAGCCCCAGCCAGGCGAGGCCTAGACACCGGGACCACATGAGGTGCGCATATTCATCTACATCTCCCTTCTTTGTAATAGTCGAGGCCGACTTGATCCAAACCACCATCTCCGTATCGGGTGCTGGGTACGCTCCGGAAACTCATCGGGTGGCTTTTCCTCCGTGATCAAGGTTTGGTGATGAGCAGAGCTCCGACCCTACCATCTGATCTGATCGTGATTCGCTTTATGATAGAGGTGATGGGGGATTGTGCGGGGAGATGGAGACGATAAAGAATGCGAATGTGATTGGGAATACTCAATGAAATGATGGCGGAGGTGCTACTTAATCTCTTTTCTGCAGACTTTACATTGAGAGCTGGAGGCTCGTAGGAGACACTTCTAACAAATATTGAGTTTTATTCTCCTAGGGTTAACTGGTGAAGCGATGAGAAGATTTGATCTTTTAGTTCTTTACTTTCATATAAAAACTTAATAGTTCCATTGAATCCTATGATGACCTCCATTCTATATTACAGAGGTTTAGATCGTAATTTAGGTTTCAAGGGGTATTGAAGATTTTTATTTAATGATTAGGATAATACTTGTGTAAGTATCTTATATTTTACTGCTATCTGAAATTACACCATGATTTTGGGGTATTTTGACATCGAGCAAGCTCTTGTCATCTTTTGATATAGTTTCCTGGGCTTTAAAGGGTATATTAGTAAAAAAAGATACGTCAGAACTAAAACTCACCATTCCAAAGCCTCGAATATATTCCTTTCATCTTGAGTAATTCTTGATGTGAGCCGCTCTCAGCTAATCTTCCCTCATGCAACACTATTATAACATCACTATCGTAGATTGTTCGTAATCTATGTGCAACAAAAATACTAGTTCGTGACTTTTCACGCAAAATACTATTAATGTTCTGAATGAGAGAAAGTTCTGTGTGTGTATCCAATGCTGAAGTAGCTTCATCGAAAAAAAGTAAGGGAGCATCTTTGAGAATAATTCTGGCGATAGCAAGCCGTTGCTTCTCACCACCTGAAATCATCATTCCTCGTTCTCCTACCATAGTTTCGTATCTATCGGGAAATTTTGATATTATTTCATGGATTTTAGCATGTTTTGCGGCAGCTACTACTTGCTTTTGGGACGCATTTATATCTCCATACCTTATATTGTATTCAACAGAGTCGTTAAATAACGGGGTATCTTGGGGCACCATTCCGATAGATTTTCTCAAGGAATCCAAGCTTACCTCTCGGATATCCTGATTATCTACAAGAATTCTCCCTTCTTGGACGTCGTATAGTCGGAAAAGAAGCCTCAAAATAGTAGACTTGCCACACCCACTAGCTCCAACAATAGCAATTTTCTTCCCTGCAGGAATAGTAAGACTCAAATTTTTTAAAATAGGACGATCTGCGTGATAGCCAAATGTAACATTCTCAAATTTTATTTCGCCCCCCCTTGTCAGCTTTAGTTCATTTGCATTTGGAGGATCACGAATTGTTATGTTAACTTTTTGGAGGTTGAACAGTGTTTCCATGTCGAGGAGCGACTGACGAAGTTCCCGGTACACTGAGCCTAGAAAATTCAATGGAAGTGATAGCTGAAAGACCAGTTGGTTTACCATTACAAGATCGCCAACTGTTAATCCTCCACTAGCAACACCATCCGCGGCTAGAAACATCATTGCTGTCAAAGCGGTGGAGAATATAATGCTCTGTCCAGAGTTTAAGAGAGCAAGTGAAGTTGCAACTTTTATTGATGACTTCTCATATTCTTTCAAGGTTTGATCGTATCTTGCTACTTCGAACCTCTCATTATTAAAATATTTGACAGCTTCATAGTTGATGAGAGAGTCTACAGCTACTGTGGAACCTTTATTGTCAGCTATGTTGGCCGCTCTGCGGAATTTAGTTCTCCACGCTGTCGTCCAAATGGTGAAAGCTGAATACCCAAACATAGTTAAGGTGGTGATAGCGGCAAACTTTAGACCAAACTGATAGGTTAATATTCCACAAACCATGCTAATTTCGAGGGCAGTGGGGATTAAGTGGAACACCATCGAAGTTAGCAGAAAACTAATGCCTTTTGTTCCTCGGTCAATGGCTCGTGTTAGTCCACCAGTTTGTTTAGTATGGTGAAAATTTAAGTCTAACCTTAGCAAGTGGTCAAACACATTACAAGCAACTCGTCGGATGGCTTTCTGCGCAACAGTTGCGAAAATAGCATTCCGAATTTCCTGAAATACTGTAGCTCCTATCCTCGTAACTCCATATGCTAGAATCATTGAGCCTGCAACTGTTGTTGCTGTGCCTCCAAGAGCAGAAAAGTCCACGTTCATCGCGTCAACAATACTCTTGAAGTAGAAAGGTACTTGTACGTTCAAAATCTTCGATCCAACCAGCAGTGCCAGTGCTAGGCTCACTCTAAACCGAGTACCGATACTGTCAGTGGGCCATAAGTATTGGGCCATTTCTTTGATTATTGCCCAATCTGCTTGCCGCTGCTGAAAATTTGTCTTGTCACTGAGGACTAGTGGATCTCTCCGAATGGAATGATTACCAGTTCCAAGAGGCGAAACATTTCCGAACACATGTTTTGTATCTGAAAGTTTATTTATTTTTTTCTGTTCTGATGTCTGGTGCGATACGGTATTTGTGAAATTGAAAACCCGGGGACTCAGTCTCACTGGAGTCGTAGAACCTGATGGCCAACGTGGCGAGTGCGGACGCAAGCACGAAAGCCCTCGTCGGTTCCACACAAGCATTTTTATAGCTGATCGCATAACTATCGCCCCATGTTTTTGCTATTTGACCCTTCCCACATTTTATGTATCTTGTTTAAGGAGGCCCCTAGTGTACCATTTAATCTTGATTTCTTGTTTGGAAAATCACACGCAAAATAATATATTCCTTACTACTTTTAACAACGGGTTATGCGATTGAAAATGATGTGATGGTTAGGTTGACAACTGGCCTTTCACTGTCTCAGATTCCAATGAGGCTCTACTTTTTTTTGCACATTGAGATCAAAATTTACGATTAGCGCCTAAGGCAGATCCTAGTCTAGGTGTGATCCGATTCCATCTGCATGTTATAAACATCAGCAATATACATCGCCGGGGCTTTAAGAGCAGCATGCGCGTTTCTACGTTGCCGCTCAACGCTGCCGTTCGGAGGCCACACCTCCAACAGCGCTATATCAATGGTATTGTTTACGGCAGAAGGATCCATCTCAGTGCAACGCCTGCAACCACGTCGGAATCGCTTGATAATTTGTTCGCTGAGGTATCTGCAGATCCTGCTGGTGAGCTCATTCTTATACTACATTCAGATTAAGGTTACGATTAATACTGACCAGATGCACGTTTTGAGGTAATTGGCGCACCGTACTCTATCCTATCGGTTTCGTTGTCAGCATCACAACAGTTATACACTCGTCGCAACACGTTAATTGGCTTAAGTGGGAATCCAGAAAATGTTGGCTACAACTATCCACATGCTCAGAATCTGACGTCCATGACTGATTCCTAAATCCAGACCCGCTCGGCCTTATTCTCATTTGAACCTATTCGGCGAGGCTTTCTCGGCATGCCTTTCCTTCATCACCGAATTTCCTCAACCACCAATACAACTGTCCTTATTTCTACCAAGTCACCCATCACCTCTTTCGCTGTACTAAATCTTAATGGCACTGTAGACTGGATGATTGCACAACGAAATGCACTTTTGGCATGGACAGGCCACTCACTAAGTCTCTCCGCTAGAGTTGCAAGGGGTTTCGGCTTCGCCAGATGGGGAAATACAAAGGTTACGGGACGCGGCCTGATCGCATTGACTGGTGGCGGGACAATCTTTCAAGTCCGACTTAAAGACGGAGAAAAATTTGTTGTCAACCCAAGCAACGTCGTTGCCTATACCTTAACCCAACAGTTACCAGAACCATATCGCTTGCCTTCCTCAAGATATGACCTAAAACAGCCGTGGATGAATAGAATAACTGATCTCATGTATAAATTTAGCCCAACGCGGGATCTATTTAAAGCTAGACTGTGGCATAGAGCTGTCCAATTGTTCAACACTATCCTAAAATGGAGTCGTCAAGCTGTTTTCGGAAATGAACTGTTCATGAAATTTACTGGCCCAGCCACAATTCTCATTTCCAGCCGCACAGCACAATTTAACGATTGGAGGTCTCTACAAGATGCAAAACCAGTTGGTGCTGAACCTCACCCGGACAAATCAAGTGGACCTCATGTATGACGCGACTCTTCTAGTTTTATCCATACTTGCTTTGCGCAAGATTGTTGAAATATCACAACTAATTACAAACTAAGATTGATGTAAAAATGCCTGTAGTAAAAATTTGGAACGAGTTTTTAATATATCAAACGTCTGAGGTCCAAACTCGTGCCTCTACTACTGAGGTATGGGTTGCGGGAGCCGGGACTGAGGATTAAAAGTAGTGTGATTCCATGATATCCGTTATACTTGAATGTATATACCAAACAATTAAATAATACATTAAGCTCATAAAGCAATTACTCACATTAGGTGATAATAAAAACCTTGTACGTGTAATTCTCTGCACCTGGCAGGACTGGGAGACTTGGCTAGATGAAATAGAGCCTCGTCTTCAATGTCAAACTAGCAATGAAGTCAAGCCCTCATAGGCTTTTTCAATACTTTTCTTTCCTAGCCCAGGCACTGCCATTAGGTCTTGCAACGTTCGTAAGTTGGTGGTACTTTCATCATCCTGTAACTCCAGATACTCCACTAAGTCGCGCGCCTTTTTGGCGCCAACACCACTTAACCCTTGAATCATGGTCAAGTCACGAGAGTTGACTATGTCTAATAGATTCCGAGTGCGTGGCGTCTGAAAACCTTCGAGCGGCTCGATAGCATCTGTGTATATCTTGATCGAAGCCTTATTGGCACCTGGCTTTATACGAGGTCTCTTCAGTTTTGGCCTATAGATGAAGGTTTCATCTTCTGAGGGAACAGGCGTGCTTATATCTTGGAATTCTCCTTCGACATCCATGCTCTCTCTCTCAGTTTTAGGGTCGGGCTCTTGGTTGTAGGTTTGCAGATTTTTTCGAGGAGATGGGACACTTTTGGGATTGTAGTTTGAGGAAATAGGGTCTTCTGAGTATTCCCTGGTGTGTTCAGCTGTTTGATCACTTTGAGCTTGAATTTTAGCCTTTAGGCTGTCAATCTTTTTTTTCAGTCTTTCTTGGCCCGGGAAGTATGGAGCTGCTAGCTCGTACATCCTTAACGCACTGGAGAATTCTTCTCTTTCTTTGTGTTGTTTGGCCATCAGTAAAAATCGTAGACCTTCAGCTCGCGTATGTTCCTCCTCTCCATTTTGTATCTTTCTCTCTAAAGCTTCCAGGCGTAGTTGTAATGCGTCACTTACAGTGTTGGTTTTGGAATCAATCTGGTTTTGGACACGGTTGGCTAGTGCTTCCTGGATTTTTTGTTCGATTAAAAGTTCAATTGTTGTCGAAGTGGGTGGTTGTTCGTGTGTCGTGCCACTAACTGCTGATTTTGTTTTTTTAGTTGGACGTGAAGGGAACAAATTTTCAGATGGCCTCTTCAAATTCGGGTTCTTGGGACAAGCGAGAGATAATGAGTTAGCAGGGCAAGGTATAACTCTATTCTTATCTGTATATACAGCGAAAGACTTTGTGGGTTTATCACTCTTGCGAGCAGTGTTACTTGGGTGCGTATTGTGGGCATGGGCTAGTGCTCGCAATGGTTGACGCTTCGTAGTATTGTTAGATGACGACACTGGCCTCCAAGACGGCTGGGTGAAGACTATTTCGTTTTCTATTTCTCTCACTTCGATTCTCTTTGCTCGAGAGCTAATATTCAAGCTCGAGAGAGTGTCCAGATGATATGAGCGCAGTGGTGCAAGGTTAAGTATCATAATGGTAATACCTTGATTCTGACCAAGTGATAAAATGCGTGTCATCCTACTCTCTCTAGGACAATGTTCTATTAGAATTAGGGAGTTGGCAAACGAAATAGAAAACTTACCGGTAGGGTATTCTTTTGTCTCCACGTCCTATCGCATCGATACAAGAGCTTAAAACAAAAAGACTCTTATTTATACTTGCGGACTCAACTAATCGCTCTTTATTGTTTTCAGTTCGCCTATTGTCCTCGGATCCTGCCAGATCAATAGCCGATGCTGTGGAGATTAATATCTCACCATTGTCGCTAACTTGTGTTAACTTTACTTGAAGTATAGCATGGGATCGACTACTCTGCGCGTTTAATTTAGTCCCAGCAGTGCTTCTGTTGTTATTTGCCTCGATGTAGAATCTCTCAAAATCCTTTAGATTGTCGCATGCGTGTTCAGAGAGACCCACGACAATCGTCTTTCCATCTTTTTCACGAAGCGGTAGACCGGCCAAGGTGCGTTTTTCTGGTGGCTGAAATAGATCATATACTTTATCGTTATATATTTCGTAGTAGGCAAGAGATACTGAAAAACTCCTTCTACCGGCTGAGTCCTTTACAACCTTCCTTCCACGGCGATAGATACCACTGAGCAACCTTGGAATTACACCTCGCTCGGCGAGCTTTAATCCTCCTCTCATAGTATGAGTTTTTCCTGTCCCGGTTACACCGTAGGCGAAAATTGTGACATCGAGACCTTGAAATAGAGACTTTACGTGCGGTGCAACTGATAGGGTAAATATTTGATGACTATTTTCTGGAATAAAGACTAATTACCTTCGTTGACGAAAAACTCATCCTGAGTAGCCATTTGGTCGTAGACAGCATTAAAAGTAAAGCTAAAATCTTCGGCTTCTTTCTTAGGATTTGGTATGCGCACAACATTTGAGGGTTTCCCTTCCTCTTTGCTTTCCACGTGAATTATGGTGTCTTTTTCATTTTCACTACTGAGGAGAGGACGGATGCGAGCAACCACTGGAGCTTGTAAGAATTGAACGCCGAATATTAAGATGGAAGCGACAAACCTCTGACAGACATGATGCAACTTAGAGGAAATTCGAAGATTTGACGACGTAGCACATGAACAGAAAATGAATACTGTGGACGTTACTAAGATAGAATACTTCACTTCGTTGCGTTCCACAACTGCCCTGGAAAGGAACTATGCTGGTGACCCGATTATTTCGTAAGCGTACTGCTCAACTATTTTGTCTCAAGAAGTTAGTTGCTGGGACAACTAACCCGAAAATGTCTGTGCCAAACATGACGATCAGCGTACTGTGCTAACAGCCTGATGTCCTAACGTATGAGGCTACAGTCACTTATTTTGTTGGTTTTTGTAAACATTATTGGCTCAATCTGGTCTTACAACTAAATCACTAAGGTTCTCTACATAGGTTCAACCAAAAAGAACGCCCTTCTTATGTGTTTGTACGCACGGATCACCTTGGATGCCTACACAACTCCCAGTCCTTATATATTACATGACTGCGAAACTTAAACTGACTTTACTTAAATATGCATCCCCTCACAGTTATTTGTGTTGAGTTTATTATACTACCTGAGTCTATGACTATCTGGCACGTTGGGCTCCTCTCTGACCCAGGCCACACCTTGTACAGTGCTCCTATCCTCTTTTGTTACTTGAAAGATCATTGATATATTCCCCTTGATGAATAGCCATTCAGCTCAGTATTTACCCGTGGAATTCAGCCACCTTTTCCACGGAACCTTCTACCCAAAAAAAAAAAAAAAAAAAAAAAGAAAAAGAAAATAGTAGTAATGGAAACTGCGTGCGCGGGAAAAAGTCTCAGAAAACCTGCAGCCCCAGCCAGGCGAGGCCTAGACACCGGGACCACATGAGGTGCGCGTATTCATCTATATCTCCCTCCTTTATAACAGTCGAGGTCGACTTTATCCAATCCACCATCGCCGTACCGGATGCTGGGTAGGCTCCGGAAACTCATCGCACGGCTTTTCCTCCGTGATCAAGGTTTGGTGATGAGTAGAGCTCCGACCCTACCATCTGATCTGATCGTGGTTAGCTTCATGATAGTGGTGATAGGGGAATGTGTTGAGAGATGAAGACGATACAGACTGCGAAAGGGATTGGGAATCATCGTCGAAGTGAGGACTTGGTTACTTAATCTCGGCTCTGCAGACTCTACAGTGAGAGCTGGAGGTTCGTAGTGGACACCACTGTCAGGTGTTGAGAATAGCCCCCCCCCGCTCACAGTTTTGAATATACTATTCAGACTTGAGCTAAATAATAACACCTATTTCCTCTGCCTATGGTAATGGAACATCTATACCTCAGGTAACATACTCCATCGTACATCTCCTTCATGAAATCCTTCATACATTAATATTCCACAGGTCTTCATATGAGTACAAACTAGAAGAAGCCAATATCTATTCACTATCTCCTCTCTCAAGCCCACGAAGCGACAGTCACTTGCTTCAGTTTTTCGTTGACGACTATTGTTCAATTCCCTAAATAATAGCTTACTTTATTTGTGCTGCGTTATTTTTTATTGTGCATTTTGAGTCCATGACTACCTAGCATATTGCGCTCCTCATTGAGCTAGGCCACACATTGTACAGTGCTCCTTGCCTCTTACATTACTTTAGAGATCATTCATATGTTGCCCGCGAGTAATAGCCATTCAGCCTAGAAGTTGCCCACGGAATTCAGCCATCTTTTCCATGAAACCATTTAGCCAACAAAAAACGGCTGCAACGAAAACTGCGCGCACGGTGAATTATTTATAAAATATTTAACGTGTTGGATGATGATTTTTATTTTACGTCTAGCGAGCCACGCGCTTGACGTGTGGCCCTATCAAGTCCCTACTGAGACAAAAGACGCCTAACGTGTTGGATTTTATAATAATTTGGGCCATCAAGCGGGCCACGTTGCTGATATACACGTGACTGCAAATTCTGTACTTATATTTTTTTCCAACATATTTTAATTGCGTATGCAGCTATCTAGCTATGACACAATATCAAAGAAAAGTACAGAAAAGATGACTCAATTTACAAGAGGAGCACTCATGCCTCGGATTTCATTTGCAGGTACCACTGCGAAGTTATGGTGGCTTTTTCTTCACCCCAAGTCAACCCTCATCCGTGAATACCCACCCAGGGGAACATCTCAAAAACCCTGAGTTATCCAGACATGCCTCCATCATCCATCAACTTTTCTCCGCGCGAAATATGATCTGAGATGTCTCCTTCCCAAGTGGAGCAGGTGCGCAGGCTACTCAAACCATACCAGAGAACATCACCAGGAGGCGGACCACAACACCTTCCATCGTTTGCTTGTGTTTATAGTGTTGGCTGCACTCTCACAAGCGAAGTCTTGGCGCGCACAAAGCCCAATTCGAAAAACTCCTTGCCAAAATTCGGAATCTCATGCCCTTCGAAGTTATATCCTTCCTCTGTATCATCTTGTCAACTTGTCCTAATCCCTCTCACGTCCATTCCAAAGAACTGTCTCCCAGATTTGTGCGCCACGCTTTGCTTCCTCCGTCGGGTATAAATATCGGCGTGGGCGTGTATTTGGTGACCAGCTGACGCCAGAGAAGGTCGAAGAGTGGTGTGGTCATTGGAATGAGGATGTACTTGGTCGTACTTGTAGACTCGATGAGACGAAGATAGGAGTCAAACTCGTTGGGAGCGAAATAACGAAGTGGATGAGTAATTTGGATTTTTGCCTCGTGGGCCAACTTCTTTGATATTGCGAAATTTGACTGAACTTGGCTCTGGGAGAATATTTCACTCCCAGGTTCGTAGAGGACACCGCGTACAGGTGTTCAGTCTTGCCCTCCTTATTTGATTTCATTTGGCCCGTCCAGGTATATCTAATTATAATATTTACATAGGCGGAAACCAAATTCGGTAAAACTAGGGCGCCGGCTCTGGAATTAATGCTTGGATCAAGGGGATGGCAGCTGTTCAGGGACTACGTCCAGGAGAGTGGAATATACGCGGAGGCTAGTCGGGGGATGGCAGGGATGCCTGTGACTCGGAGGTGATAGAACGGAAGCCTGGGTGGTTTGGCAAGGACAGAAAGATTAGACTCGAGGCTCAGGCGCGTGGTGGCTGAGGCGGAACAGTGGAAGGGAGATTGTTGAAGTTTTTCTTTTGTAATGCGGGATTTCGCGGGAAAGCTTTTGTTCTGTTTTCAATTCTGGGCTGCCGAATTCGTCATGATTCAACACATAGATGCATTTTGGCATGGTTCCGGTCATTTAGGTGGGACGAGGCATTTGTACTGAACGGTAGTTAACCTGATCCGGCCCGACCCCACTCGTGCTCAAGCTCCAGTAGGAGTGCGACGGTAGTAACTTCACGTAGCACGTTAACGAACAAAAAACGCACAATTCGAGAATTCATTTTATCCCTCTTTCCTCCCTTCTCGACCTCGTCGCATCCATCTCTGAATTGTGATCGAGCTCAGGCATTTTCACCATGCCTCCAGTTCGCAAAAAGCGTCCCAACGCCAAGTTGGACAACACGAGAGTCCACCCGAGGGCTCTCGAACAATTACCTGGCCTTGTCCAGTCACCGAAATGCGCGGAGATGAGCAAGGTCTCCATCAAAGGGAAGCAAAAAGCCCACCCCGCCGTCGCTGAACCCGATACTGACATGATCGGGTCAGTTGAAACTGTTGAGGAAATTCCTCAACCACCCTCCTCCCTTTGACCAACGAGTCAAATAGACAATTCGTAGACTCGATGAGAGTCTACCTACGCGCCGCCATTGCGCAATACATGGCCACGGGCCCGGCCATCACGCCACCCGTCCTCCCTCCTCGCCCTGCGAACCCGACCCCAAGGGCTCCAGAAGCCAGGAGCAATACAACTCCCGCCGTCCCAGTTCTACCTGTAAAAAGCACCTGAGACACGGTGGCCAAAAATGGACTGCGACAAAATGCAGCTCCTATAGCAAAGGCTGTGTCGCGACCTGCGGCGAGAGCCCAAAAGAAAGAAGCTCCCAAGGCGAAAGTCGATAAGCGACTGTTCCTTCGCCTGGAAAAGGAGCACCCATGGCGGAATCTTTCAAACAACATTGTGAAAAGTAAGGTAGCGGACACGCTTAATCTCTCTTACAATGATATAACCTCGATTCATCGAGTAAAGACCGGCTTTGCTACTATAGCAGAGAACGAAAAAATACGACAAGAGATCCTAGATGTCTCTCCGAAGCTGGCAAGTGAAAACGCCAAACTCGAAGCATCTTCGGATCTTGTCGCCTTACAGATACCGAACGTACCTGTAAGTATCGTTTCACAGTACGGCCCCGTAGCGACCGATGCTGCAAGTGTCACCGCTGAGATCTTCCTTACGACCAGCGCGTATCCAATCCAGGTCCGACCTCATGGGACAGGTCGGCCTGGATCGCCTTATCGGAACTGGCATGCCCTTTTTCACCGGGACGAAGCCCCTCGTGCGGGCTTCCGCCTTTTCGACGATTCGGGTATGGCTACCATCCATAAGCCTCGTCGATCAATTGAACAGTACAAACGCTGTTTGGGCTTCCACGCCACCCGTGGTTGCACCCACGCTCCGGCTTGCTGGAACTGCGGATCAAATATGCACTCCGAAACAGAGTGCAAGGCCCTCACACGCTTTCGCAACTGTGGGGGACCTCACCGATCGGATTCTCGGGCCTGCTAAGTCAGACCAAAAAAATCCGGACCGGTGACGAAAGAGCAGCTCGCATGGATTCGCCACATCGAACAAGGGGAGTTCGCGAAGGTGACACGAGCCAGGGCTGCAGCAAAAAAGGCCGAAGAGGCGATCATCGCCGCGGCGAAGGATGTCTCGATGGCCGAGGCAACAGGTTTCGGAGCCCTGGGATCTGAAGAAGAAGTTTGAGGACACAGCAACCTCGACGATGTCCCCTTTTGGGGCATCTACTAACCAACAGCAGGATACCGGCTGGATCAAAGGTGTCTGCTAACTCATCTCTTGCTCTCAGCGGAGATTGAACAAATTTTGT